TGTCACACTGTTCACAGCAACCTCTAACTCCTGGGCTTAGGTGATTCTCTTGCCTCAGCCTCCCGAGTAGCTGGGACTACAGGTGCCCACCACAAAGCCCAGCTATATATACATATATATACTTATGGGGGTTTTTTTTGTTGTTGTTGTTGTTGTTGCAGTTTTCCCAGGCCCAGGCTCGAGCCCGCCACCCTCGGTATATGGGGCCAGTACCCCACTCACTGAGCTACAGGCACCCCCCAACTCTGCAAACCATTTTAAATAAATTTTTCATATTATACCCTATAAGATAAGCAAAGCAGATACCCTTATTTTGCAGCATGAAAAGAGAGCTCTGAGGAGCTGAGTGATTTCTTACCTAAGGTCAGAGCGAGGCTAGAGCCCTAACTCCCAATCCAGTGTTATTTCCACAACCTCATTTGTGCAGAGATTCTAGACAGTGGCTCCTACTGATATTTAGCCTAGATAATTTAGCCTAGTACTCACTTTTCTCTCAAAAGGCAAAGTGACAAAACCTGGGCACACCAAAATGAAATGTTAACTATTTAATCCATGTCATTGTGCTCCTTGTTACAGAAGGAAAAACTAGATCACAAAAAAAGAAGGTTCAAGCATTAACTGATTGCTAGGTGCAAAAGCGTTATATAGATTACCTCATTTAATTTTCAGACATCTAGGAGACAAATATTGTTGTCTCCATTATATAGATGAGGAAGTTGACAGAAAGATTAAGTAATTTGCCAAAGTCATATCAATAATAAATAAGTAGTGGAAGAGTAAACATCAAATCCAGATCTATTTGACTCCAGAGTCCACATGCAATATTTAAAACATGTAAATCTAGGGCGGTGCCCGTGGCTCAAAGGAGTAGGGTGCCAGCCCCATATGCCGGAGGTGGTGGGTTCAAAAATAAATATTTATTTTATAAATAAAATAAAATATGTAAATCTTTAAAATAAAAATACACAGTCAAGGAAAAAATAAATAGTTTGAGACTTTCAATTTTCAGAGGCATAACAAAATGAAATGAGACATTTCTAAAATCTAGTACCCTCTCCCTCCATGTCTGATCAATGAGCTCCAAAGCCTAGCCACAAATAAAATCTGGGTAGGACTCAATGCATTCTTGTTAAACAGATGAATTAAAAACTAAGTTAATTCCTTTACTTTGGAAGACAGCAGGTGGAGATGGAACCAGGGTCTCATGACAGCCTTTCTGATTGGGATCCACGCACAGAGAAAAGTACTGATGTCTGTGAGGAACCTGACAGCAAATCTAATCCATGAGGTTGATAAATTCCATGACATTTCTAAAAAGGAAGTAAGGATCGGAGACTAGTGAAAATATTGCCAGTAACATATTGGGATGGGGCAGTGAGAATGTAGCAGAAGAAGTGTGTGTGTGAGAGAGAGAAAAAGAGAAAAGGAGAAAAGGAGACACTGCCCACATCAGAATATTCTTTTTGGAAAAAAACAATTATGGAAAAGGGAAATATAACTGTAGAATAAGGCAGAAAATCATGGATAAGAAAAAATAATCCTGACAATAAAGTTCTCATTCATAAACCTAAATAATCATGTACTGAAAATTAACTGAGGCAACAGTGATCACTAATCTACAGCTAACTGTCACTTTTGTTGTGTATTTTTTTTCTAACCAGAATTGGGGGACAGTTAACCTCATGGCACAAACTATTATAACAGAGACAAATTCTGGGTAGGAGCTAATTCTTTCATCTTCCATGTGTGAAAAAGGAACAAGGATCCGGGTAAACTAGAGCTACCCAGTTATCAAGAAGCAAGTTCCAGCTGAGCACAGTGACTCCTATCTGTAATTCCAGCACTTTGGGAGGCCAAGGTAGGAAGACCACCTGAGGCTAGGAATTTTTTTTTTTTTTTTTTAATTTCAGGTTAACAGAGGGTACAAAGAATTAGGTGACAATGTTTGCATTTGTTGGGTAAAGTCCCCCTTAGAATTGTGTCCCATCCCCAACAGATGTGTCATACCCCTCACATGGTGTCCATTTAATGGAAGCATACCAATCCCCTTTCCCCTCTCCCCGCTCCTTTGTTCCCCTACCCTCCGCCTTGGATTAATCTGAGTTTTTCTCTTGAGTGTATAATAGCTCATCTACTGGCTTCCTATTAGCACTGAGTACATTGGATTCTTGCTTTTCCATTCTTGTGATATTTTACTAAGAGGAATATATTCCACTTCCAACCAGGTTAATACAAAAGAGGTAACGTCTCTATCCTTTTTAATGGCTGAATAATATTCCATGGTATACATATACCACAGCTTGTTAATCCATTCCTGGGTTGGTGGTCATTTAGGTTATTTCCACATTTTGGCAATTGTAAATTGAGCTGCAATAAACAGTCTAGTGCAAATGTCCTTACAATAAAATGATTTTTTTTCTCCTGGGTAGATGCCTAGTGATGAGACTGCAGGATCAAATGTGGAATCTAATTTGAGTTCTTTGAGGATTCTCCATACTTCCTTACAAAAAGGTTGTAGTAGTTTGCCATCCCACCGAGGCCAGGAATTTGAGACCAGCCTAAGTAACATTAACAATATCCACCACTACAAAAAATTTTAAAAATTAGCCAGCAGGATGGTACACATCTATAGTCTCAGCTACTCTGGAAGCTGAGGCAGGAGGAATGCTTGAGCCCAGGAGTTCAAGAGTACAGTGGGCTTACTACACTCCAGCCTAGGTGATAGAAAGAGATCCTGTCTCTAAAAAAGAAAAGAATAAAAAAGAAGAAGATACTTATTTATGAAAGAATAAATACAGGGTTGAAAGACCAGCATCCTTCCACTGGCCACGCAGAGCCTAAATGACTCGGGAACCAGGACTGTGACTTACTGGTCTATGGCCCTACCTACCAAGTTCTCAGAAAAGCGGGAATAACTGCTAAGCCTCAAGCAATGATTTACCAAAGAGCAGTAGGCTGTGAGAATCAAATGCCTACCAGCAATCCACAAATATTTACTAAAGGTATCTCCTTTCCTAGGCAAGGGAGATAATCATGGCAAGTAAGACTAGTCTCTACTCAAACAGTTGTGACAAACACCTTTTATCTAATCTTCAACGATTCAACAGTTTTTAAAAACTCAAAACTAGGGGCTGGGCTCTGTGGCTCACTCCTGTAATCCTAGCACTCTGGAGACTGAGACAGGTGGATTGCCAGAGCTGATGGGTTCAAGACCAGCCTGAGCAAGAGCAAGACCCCATCTCTAAAAAAAATAGCTGGGTGTTGTGGCAGGTGCCTGTAGTCCCAGATACTCAGAAGGCTGAGGCAAGAGAATCACCTGAGCCCAAGAGTTTGAGGTTGCTGGAGCTATGATGCCACAGCACTCTACCGAGGGCAATAAAGTGAGACTCTGTCTCAAAAAAAAAAAGAAAAAACTCGAAAAGAAAATTATTAGCCTAAGAAGAGTCTCTAGCAGGCAAGTGGAGGATAATGTACTACAAAATATCAGTTAATTAAGGGCAGAACAGAGAAATTTACTAATACAAATGAAAAACACAAAAAACTTTGGTACTTGACCTATATAGTAGCCACTTTATTCTGGAGGATAAGAGATAGCTAACGCCTCCAACGTCTGTTCTTCTGTTTCTTGTACTTCCTTCCAAAATCGCACCTATATACCAAGTGCTCTCCTATTCTGTGTCAGAGGAGTAGGTTCTAAAAAGCCTCCAAATGAGTCACGAATCCCGCTAACTCGAATAACAAAACCTAATAGAAACAGAGATATGCGGTCTCTAAGTAAGTTCCTTACTCCCTCTGAAGAAGTCCTGAATTCTTTCACCCACTATATTTTTCAGGATTAATGACACACTAAAACAAACTATGCATTCCTCTAAAGAAAAGTATATAAAATGAAAAAAGGCCTCCCCTACTGCCAGGAAATTTAGATTCATCAGTTGTTGGAACTCACCTCCCAGAAGCTTCCATTTGGCACTGGAACGAAAGGCCTCCATCTGCTTTACCTCTTCTGGCCGCTCATCCACAAACTCAGCCACCTGAGAATAAGGATTTCCTATGTTGAAAAAATCCACAGAATCCATCCAAAGAGCCCTGTTAACTCAAGAACCTGAAGTGTTGATACAGGATTCCACCACTCAGGCTAGACAGGGAGTCTCCCATTCTCTAGGCCCAGGTGAGCTCAGAGGTCAGACCCCCATTTTCTAGGCACAAGCAGACTGCCTTCTTCAGGACACACCCTCTGGGCTCTGGTAAGATCATGAACAAAGCAGCCTGTGATGGTTTTTTGGGTGGTTCCACCTTGGGTAGGAGCACACACCCTAATCCCTTCTCAGGGACAAAGACTGTAAAGGACATGATAACTACATTCATTCGTTAACGCACTCATTTCCATCTACCAACTGCCAGCCACGGTAATGCTCTAGACCTAATGCCCCTAGATAAAAGAGCCCAGGTGGAGACTCCTGAGAGAGTTCTTCAGTTCTTTCCCCCTTCCTGACACTTTGGTGCTTTTTACTTTCCTTTCTAACTTCTAATAAAAGTCCTATCTTACCACTTCATTCTTTGAATCCCCGAGACCAAGGACCTACTGAAGAGCAAAATTCCAGTATCAGTGTGACCATTTCTATTCCTAATATAATGGTGTACCTAGATCCAAAACACTCAAAAAGAAACATGGAGTGGTCCTCAGTTATGTTCACTCCATAGACATCTGATTGTCACTGCACTGGTTTAACTGTAGAGCTTTCTCTAACTTTCCCTCTAAAAGTTAACTTCTTTCATTACAAATCTTTATATTAACCTTCCAGGTACACACCTGCCACACATAAGCTAAAAGCTAAATTCCTTTTACATGTTTACTTTCACATTCAGAATGAAAACATAGACTGCCTCCTATCACATCCATCATTAATAAAGGACTTTGGGCTGTTATGAAAACTTTCTTCTTATAGGTAGTCATAACGATAGGTTTTCCTGAATCCAACCAAAGGAAGCCACTGAGATAGAAACAGAATCATTAGAATCTTTAAGGGATAAAACCACAAGATGCTACCACCACTCCATATTCTCCAAATTCCCAAACAAATAGGAATCTTCCCTGAGGTATCTTGGATAAATGCTCACTCACTCAATCGCTCTTATAGGGGATTTATTATCTTACAAGCAGTCATTTGCATTTTTGAAAAGTGTTAGAAAGGTATTGGTTTTATTGAACGTGTATCTACCTTCTTAAAACTTCTTTGCTTTGATCCTAGTTTGCTGGGAGAATAGGGACCTAAGACCCCATTCTTGGCAAAGGAAAACACCCCCAGAAAAAAAGGAAAAACAAAAAAGTAGGTTGAATGAGTCGGAGCAAAGAAAAGTCAGCTAGTTTACCTTTAAGCTAGCCATTGCTAGCAAGTTTCTTGCCTTTTCTGAATAGTCTGTTGGGGATATAGCTTACAAACACCCTGCTGGGTCTGTGAGCATTCTGAAAATAATTGTCACAGAAGAGGCTATGACAAGTCCTAAGAAAAGATACATCTTCTGGGGCGTTTCCTGCCCATTAAATAGGCAAAAGCAAATACCCATTATAGAGATTTGCATTTGCCTGGGGTAGAGACCAAGGGAGTAGCTGGAGCTCTGAGATATGGGCAGAAGAGCTTATATCCCTTATCGCAGAAGAAAATCCTCTCTGGTGGTGATGGGAGGAAAATGCCTCATCCCCACTGATCCCTCAGAGAAGATTAACGCTGATGGCATTTTACTCCACAGAGAACTAGTGGAGTTTAACACCTCCCTAGAAATCTGTGTGTGTGACCTCAAGCAGGAGGCTCTCCTAGTACAAGGCTCAGATTTCAGATTACTGAAGGCCACCCTTAAGGTTAATTATAATAACAATAGAAGTTGATAGGATCAATCCAAGAAACTGCTGACATCTTTGTTCCCTTCCCTCATCTTACCCTCCGGGCAAATAAACTTCAATAAAATCAGAGTGGAACAAACACTCTGGGCCATTGCTGGAATCCCACAATGGGCAATGGACCCCTGAGCTCCCACTTTTAATTCTACTCTATGTCTCTCGTCTTTCTGTACCATCACTCCTAACTTTATATTTCTTTAGTTGATTGCCGCCAGTTTCCACAGGTCTCTGCGGATGCTGCTCTTGGGGTGCGACCCCAACATAGTTCTGTTCTCTGATGCAATGGATCTCCTTTCCATACCAGACTTTCAAAAATAGCTGGCATAATAAATTCTAGTTGCAGAATAGCAGCTATATGCAAAGCACTGTGTTTTATGCTTTATTCATATCATCTAACTCAATCTTCACAATAATCCTATAAAGAAAGACTCCAGACTACTGAATGGCAAACCATGACTCAAATAAGTTAACTTTCTCAATGCCACAAGATCACAAATGGATTTTAAATCCAGGTCATAATTTTCCTCTTCTCTCAAGATGCTACCATCATTCCTCATATTACAGATAAGCTAGTTTGAGATTTCTCACTGGGCATTAAAAGCCCAGGCTTACAGGCACAATGAATTGAGATCTAAATCCCTAACTCAGCCACTTAGCATTTGTGTAACCTCTGGCAAATTACCCTAAGCCTCAATTTCTTCATTTGTAAAAGTGAGATTCAAAGGATTGCTATGAGGATTGAACGAGATAATTCACATATACTTAGCAGTGCTTGGTACATGGCAAATGCACAATCAATTATGTCTGTTAGTTATTCTTGTGCAGTCACTGCTATCATAGTCATTATAATTAATTATTTTGCCATTATTATTGGTGGTGGTGGTAACCCTGCAGTAACAAAAATGAATACAAGAATTGAGATCTGTTTTAACCGGTGCACACAACAGTGAGACGTAAGCCTCCTTTGTTTAGGTTTTGGACATCACCAAAACAAAAGACAGTAGTATAAAGGAAAATTACAACAAAATTAAAACTTTTACATGTCAAAAACTATTACAAAGGAAATGAAAAGGCAGATGATAAAACACACCTATAACAATACCAAGTAAATCAATGCAAAAAAAATCAAAATTCAAATTTTCTAAAAAAATAAACAAAGAAGAAACAGAAAATTCACAAAATAGAAATGCCCAATAAACATACAAAAAACTATTCAGTTCAACCATGTTCAAAGAAAAGTGCTCACCTGCAAAACTGGCATAAGTTTGCTACTGGTTTTGTTTTGTTAATAATATTCTGATATTAAAGAAGTGGGTACAGTGGCATTTGCATTCCCTGTGCTGGAAGTGTAAACTGGTAGCACATTTTGGAAAGCAATGTGGGAATGTAACTCAAATGGACCACACCCTCTGAACTATTCAAACAGAATAGAAACAAACAGATTCCAATAATGATTTATGCACAATTATTTATGATATTTTAAAACTAGAAATAACCCATGTGTCCAATCAATAACAGGACAGGTTTAATAAATGTATATATTGAAAAAATATATATCATTAAAAATCATATCTTCAGAAACTATTTTAAGATCTTGCTAAAGCAGTCATAAAATATTAAGTAAAACAGCAGGCTGCAAAACCACATGTACAGTGTGATCTTAAATTATGTTCAAAAAAATAAAATATAATTATGTATCATCTATAAAGAGAAAAAAACTAAAGACATATGTATTCAACTGTTGGCAGTTATCTCCGAATAAGCAGTTATTATATCTTTTTTAAAACTTTAAGCTTTCTTGCCAGGTGCAGTGGCTCATGCCTGTAATCCCAGCACTCTGGGAGGCAGAAGCAGGTGGACTGCTTGAGCTCAGGAGTTCAAGACCAGCCTGAGTAAGAAAAAACTAGCCAAGTGCCTAAAGACCTAGCTACTTGAGAGGCTGAGGCAAGAGGATCACTTAAGCCCAAGATTTTGAGGTTGCTGTGAGCTATGACACCATAACACTCTACCCAGCTTGACAGAGTGAGACTTTGTTTCAAAAAAAATAATTTTTTTAAATTTTCATTAAATTCCTAAATATTCTATAATATGCATTTCTTTTTATAAGATTTTTTTAAATTCTTAAGTTCCAATGATTTGTTCTAACAAATTAAATTGGCTCCCAAGATCACTATTATTTCCCATGTAATTACTAGCAAACCACCTTTTAAATAATCTATTTTAGAATTTTACTTAGAATTAATATTGAATACACAAACCTAGAATCCATCTTTACAACCTTTCACTTTAGCCTATCAACAGCTTTCCTTCTCACCTTGTTTCTCAGCAATTCTCAGCAATGCTTTCACATATACGCCAATAGGAGGTTATACATACAGATCGGCCTAAGCTTTTATCTGCCTGGCTCATGCTCATCCTTCAAAACTCAACTCAATATTTACATCTTTCACAACATCTCCCAACAGAATACAAAGTGTCCTATCTTCCCTGGGCTCTAACGGTACTTGGTACATATGTGAAATATATCTCCAATATTTATTATATTGTTGAAATTATTTGAAATTCAGATCTTTCATTCGAAGATATAACTTCTAAAATACATACACTATGTTCTATTAATCTACATATCTCCAGTACTCAGGCAAGAGTACACAATTGAAAGCGTCATTAAATCAATGAATAAAGGAGCAAATCAAAAGTTCCTTATCAGAGAACCTGAACATTGTGTTAAAGGTAGATTTCTGTTTGCTATCTATGGCAAACATACCTGAATCTGTAAACCTGTATCTTGCTCTTGCTCTGTAAACCTATCTTTGTCTTTCTCAATAAACTTTGTTTTATGCTTAAAAAATAAATAAATAAAGATAGGTTCCAAAGGCTAATTCTAATCATGGCTCTATGGCTGATGCTGAGGAGGCCTGCCTATGCCCTCTGTGATCAGTTCCCTACCTCTAGGCCCTCCATAAACAGGGAAGTCAGTGTATAGGCATCATCAAAGAACACGATTATAAACAGCTCTTTGGAAACTGTCACTTCTCTGCCCTCAATTCCCCGGCTACAAATCCACCCTACACTGAGAAGACAGTCTGGGAAGCTTGCTTCATTTCAAAATCCTGACAGTCCCAAGCATACATACCACAGGCAAATCTCCATCCTCTTCCTCTTCTTCCTTTTCGGGTTTAGTGGTAGAAATAGCTGTCCAGCTCACATCATCATCTACAATCCTCATTCTAAATGAGAACAGCAAAAAGATCAAAAAGAAACAGTCATTCTGGGATACCAGCCTAAGAACACTTATGTATTAGTTTTAGAATAAAGCTCAAAATTCTAAAATATCCTGCATAGTGCAGTCTTTTGCCTACATGGCCAACTTTATCTTGTATGGCTGCACCCCCAGTTGACTACCTCACAGGTCACCCTCTGCTACCTGGAAATGAGCCAAATCCCTTACCACATCAGTCCCTACAGTCTCTTCCCTTGGCCTGATCTACTCTTCTCATTTTTTAGGTCCTACCATAAATGTAACTTCCTTAGGCAAATCTTTCTTGACTGCTTCCCTCCATTCCCTCACCAGCCACCCAAGTATAAGAACCCCTGTTATACACTGTAGGAATAATTTCATTGCTTTTATCATAAAGGAGTAAGTCAATTAGCTGTGTAATTAGTTGTTGAAAGCCTGTACCACAAGGACAGGGACTATGCCTTTTTCTGTTCACAGAGGCATCCTCAATACCCTGAGTTAACTGGCATACTGCCAAGCACAGTGGCTCATACCTGTAATCCTAGCACTCTGGGAGGATTGCTAGGGCTCAAAAGTTCAAGACCAGCCAGAGCAAGAGTGAGACCCCACCTCTACTAAAAAGATAAAAATTAGCCGCATGTTAAGGTGGGTCCCTGTAGTCCCCGCTACTCAGGAAGCTGAAGTAGGAGAATCACTTGAACCCAAGAGTTTGAGGTTGCTGTGAGCGAGGCTGATACCACAGCACTCTAGCTTAGGGGATCAGGATGAGACTATGCCTCAAAAAAAAAAAAAAAAAGAGGCCAGGCATGATGGCTCATGCCTATAATCCTAGCACTCCGGGAGGCCAAGGCAGGTAGATTGCTTGAGCTCAGAAGTTCAAGACCAGCCTGAGTAAGAGCAAGACCCTCTCTCTGAAAAAAATAGCCAGGCGTTGTAGCAGGCGCCTGTCCCAGCTACCAGGAGCCTGAGGCAAGAGGATCTCTCGAGCCCAGATGTTTGAGGTTGCTGTGAGCGAAGATGCCATAGCACTCTGCCGAGAATGACAAAGTGAGACTCCACCTCAAAAATATCCAGGGACACTTAATGCAACTTCTCTAATCACAACTATTATTTAACAGCTTTATTCAGTATTCCTCTCATTTTAAAGATAAGAAAACTGAAGTTCATAGAGATGAGATGAAATATCTTGCTAAGGGCAGATAGCCTATAAAGGAGAACAGATAGGATTCACAATCTGGTCGATGCTGCTCCTAAATTCAAGCTACTGTCACCACATTGCAAGCTTCCAAAGGACACACCCAAGTCAGGCAGAAAGACAGAAGGCAATTATAAGGCCATAACCAAACCAGGAAAGAAAACAGACCAGCTCTTTGGAACTATGTGACTTCACTGGGTATCTTATTGCCCTATGGCTGCTATAACAAAGTAACACAAACATGGCAACTTAAAACAACTGAGCACAGTGATTCATGCCTGTAATCCGAGAAATTTAGGAGGCCAAGGAGGGAGGATCATGTAAGGCCAGGGGTTCAAAACCAGCCTGAACAACATAGCAAGACCTCCTCTCTTCAAAACTACAAAAAAGTTTAAAAATTAGCTGGGTTTGATGGTATGTATTTGTAGTCCTAGCCTCTCAAGAGAGTGAAGCAGGAACCCTGAGCCCATAGGTTGGAGGCTACAGTGAGCTGATGGCACACCTACACTCCAGCCTGGGGTATGGAGCAGGATCCTGTCTAAAAAACAATATAAATTCTCTAGCAGTGCTGCAAACTAGAGGTCTAATATCAAGGTGTATGCAGGTCATGGATTTCCCTGGAAAATCTCTAAGGAAGAATCTTTCCCTTAACTCTTCCAGATTCTAGTAGCCCCAGATGTACTTGGCTTTTGGAAGCACAAATTCAATCCAAACTCAGCCTCCAGCTCCTCTGTTACTGTCTCTGTGCCCAAATTTCCTTCTTCGTAAAAGCACATCAGTCACATTTGATTTGACACCCACCTTATCAAGTAGGACTTCATCTTAATTGATTACATCTTCAAAGACCCTATTTCCCAATGTCACATTCTGAGGTTCTGGGTGGGTGGCCAAAAAAAGAGGGGGCACTATTCAACCCACTACACTTAGACACAAAGTTTTCTCATTTGAAAAGCGGAGATAACATGAATATCTACCTCTTGGCAGTATTGTCATATATGTTTAAAGTTTTTATAATTATGCCTGCAAAACTGCATAAATGTTAGTTGTTCTTGTTAGTATCACTATTATTAAGAATCTGGACCGGGCATGGTGGCTCACGCCTGTAATCCCAGCACTTTGGGAGGCCGAGGTGGGTGGATTGCCTGAGCTCACAGGTTCGAGACCAGCCTGAGCCGGAGCGAGACCTCATCTCTAAAAATAGCCAGGGGTTGTGGCAGGCGCCGGTAGTCCCCGCTACTTGGGAGGCTGAGGCAAAAGAACTGCTTAAACCCAAGAGTTTGAGGTTGCTGTGAGCTGTGATGCCACAGCACTCTACCGAGGGCTATAAAACGAGACTCAAAAAAAAGAATCACAGGACATGACAAAGGTCTCTGATTCAGGACCAGAGTCTTTGGGATTGCGGAACCCCCACAGGCAGGATCTGGACCCTAAAAATCCAAGCACAGAGACTTTGAATCAGCCCCATCATTCTCTACGTGAGACTGAAGGCTACTAGGCGGGAAAAGAGTGATGAAAGTTCAAGCCTGGCTTGAAGACGTGGAAGCTGCTGCTCGGAGGCGCGAGGTGTAAGCGGGGTGGCAGCAGGCAGTGGGTGTGGGGCGCTGGGCTCGGACAGGGGTCCACCAGGCAGTGAGAGAGCGAGGCCAGCGGCCGGCGAGGAGGAAAGGCAGGGCAGCGGAGGGCGGAGTCGGGGAGGGCCCCGCCCCCGCCTGGACCAACTCACCCCTTGCCGCTGGGCCCGCCAGACTTCGGCCGCTTTTTACGACGCTTGCGACCGGGCTCAGAACTGTCGACGCCGGTATCTGCGCCGGACAGGTACCGCTTCAGATACTCGGCCTTGGAGAGCGGCGGAGCTGCCGCCATGGCAGCGGCGAGGGCGGGGGAGACGGCTCGGCGCTGGGGACAAAATTATGGAACGCGAAGCGAACAGCAGCTGCCGGAGGCGGGGTCAGAAGCGGAAGTGGGGCGTGTACTGCAGACAACCCCGCCCAGCAGGTGAGAGCTGCTGGGAGGTGCTGGAGGGCAAACGAGAAATGCGCACACCTCTGGGGTTCATTTCCCATCTCTGCGAAGACGCAACCTTGTTCTTTCTGTTCGTCTATCCATTCATCCATCCAACAAACTGCAACAAGCGCCGTTCTGGCCGGGAGGATGTAACCAAACCCAAATAAGATCCCGGCGCCAGCGGCTTGGGAAGCGCCTGAGAGTAATTGAGAACGCAGGCTGTAGAGTAGCGGCATACGTGAGATCCCTAACTCCCTGATTTTTATAACTTTCTAGCTGCATGACCTCGCAAGTTATTTAACAAAATGAGTATGATAATAATGGCACTAGTAGACCGCTCTGGTGGCCGATGCCTGTACATCTTAGCACTCTGGAGGCCGAGGCGGGAGGATCTTTTGAGACCCGTCTGTGCAAAAGAGACCACGTCTCTACTAAAAATAGAAAAAACGAGCCCGATCTTGTCGTATACGCCTGTAATCTCAGCTATTCGGGAGGCTGAGGTAGGAGGATCTATTCAACCCAAGAGTTTGAGGTTGCTGTGAGCTATGGTGATGCCACTGCACGCTACCCAGACACTGTCTGGGTGACACTGTCTCAAAAATAATGGCACCTAACTCAGAATGGTAACGAATACTGAGATAATTGTGTGTAAAGTGCTTAGAACAGCGTTTAGTACTTTACTATAAGTCAGTACTGTATGTTCTTTTTATAGCACAGGATCTTCACCAGGGGATCTCTAAGAGGCTTCTAGCTACCATTCAAGACATCAGGAACTCCAAACCCACATAATTACAATAAAAAAGGTGGTTTCCAAAACCTACATCTGGGGCCTACCAATGGCTCATGCCTGGAATCATAGCACTCTGGGAGGCCGAGGAGGGTGGACTGCCTGAGCTCAGGGGTTGAGACCAGCCTGAGCAAGAGTGAGACACCATCTCCACTTAAAATAGAAAAATTAGCAAAAACAACACAAAAAATATATATAACTGCCCTGTTTGATATTCTTAGCCCCTAATTATCTTTTTCTTTTATTATTTTTTTCCCAAGACAGAGTCTCACTCTGTCGCCCTGGGTAGACTGCTGTGATGTCATAGCTCACAACAACCTCAAACTCCTGGGTTACAGGTGCGAGCCACCATTATATCCTGAAGGAATCTGTGTAAAGTCTTTCCAATGAAAAGAACCTGGATCTAGAGGGAAAACAGAGTAAATGAATTCTAATGCTAAAGTTTTAGGGACTTTTCTTCTTGGGTGGAGTTAAATAAATTATTTCATTTAAACCCTCAAAATTATCAGATAGTTTTATCATATTTTACATACATATTTAGAGAAATTATCAGATAGTTTTATTATCATATTTTACAGAAACTTAAGGATGTTGCTAGACTTCACACAGTCAAAACATGATTCTTGGAAGCAAAACCTAGCAAAGTGGGGTGCAAGAGGTGACCCAATTTTTTGAAATATCAGATCCCATATTTTCATTTCATCATGTTTTTTTATCACCCTTATTTTTATTTATTAATTTTTTGAGATAGAGTCTCACTTGGTCACCCTCAGTAGAGTACCATTATATCTAGCTCACAGCAACTTCAACCTCTCAGGCTCAAGTGATTCTCTTGCCTCAGTCCCTCCCCTGTTGGGACTTCAGGCACCCACCACAACACCCATCTAGTTTTACAGAGGCGGGTCTCACTCTTGCTCAGGCTGGTCTCGAACTTAGGAGCTCAAGCAATCCAACCACCTCAGCCTCCCAGAGTGCTAGGATACAGGTGTGAGCCACCGCACCCAGCCCTATCACTCTTTTAAAGTATTAGGCAAGTAAGCATGGTTATACTTTATGTAGTGGAACCTCCATAGTTGACTACCTCCTTAAGTTGACCCAATTTTCATAGAATGGACATGCACGTGTATTCAATGGAAGTTCTTTATTCTGACCACTTCCATATATCAAACAGTTTATTAGTCCCTTGGGTAGTCAATTTACAGGGGTTCTACTGTACATGACCTGACAGTTAAGTTTGTGAACTTGTCCTAGAAAAAGTGTCACATACCTTATTGCTAAATATCACTACGATCACTTTTGAAGTACTCCCCTTAGTAAGCTATGCACTGATGCCAGCCCCTAGTCCACCCTTCAAAGCAATTTTGGAACTCTTTCTCTGGAATGGCTATCAGACCTGTCATCACATTATCCTTCATGTCCTGAATCTCATCAAAATGTCCTTTCAATATTTCCTTTATCTTTGGGTAAAGAAAAAGGTCATTGGGGCAGATCAGGTGAGTAGGGAGAATGTTCGAATACAGTTATTTGTTTACTGACTAAAACCTCACTCACAATGCTGTGTAAGCTGATGCATTGTCATGATGCAAGAGCCATGAGTTGTTGGCAAGATTTTCCTATTTCACTATCAACATTTACTTGGTCTGCTATGCTTCTCATAGCCAACAATTTTGACGCACAATTTGACAAACCTTTACAGTGTTTCATCAGTTCTGCTTGTTATTGCTGCCCTGACCTTTCCCCATCAGTGATACTCTCTCCCCCCTCAGAAAAACATTTAATCCATTTGTACACTGCTTTCTTTGTGGCATTATCCCCATAATCATGGACTAACATGTCCCTGATTTCACTTCCACTCCTGCCAAGTTTAACAAATTGTTTATTGCTCAACTTCAAGCTCCAACATTCTGGTGATGGCACACAAAAACAGTAACAGTAATGAACGCCACTCAGCAAGACACCACCACACATCCACACAAACTGATACACCAAAGTTAGGAGACCTTACTTAGTGCTGCCAGTGCAACAGCGTGGGGGCAAGTTTGCAAACTTAATTAGCAGACCTCATATATATGAAGGGTGCAAAAAAACACATACACATTTTAAGAAAGGAAAAAACTAAATTTGCAATACTCAAGTCATGTTTGAGTTCTACAATTACAAGAGGTGCTCAACATGACTTGTGTTCATCTTTTGTTACCAGTATATATTACTAAAATTTCAATACATTTTTTACCTTTCTTAAAATGTGTATACATCTTTTTCGCATCCTCTGCGTAACTTGCAATACGTGTTCAAACAATTCTTTATTCGTGCCATACAAAACAGGCTGGGAGCATGAATTTTAGCCACTACAGTGAGCAGTTACAGCACAGGCCCAGAAGGAAAGCAGGCTGGGTCTCTGAGGGCCTATGGGAAGGGGACACTGGACAGAGAGAATAGGGCTTCATCAGCTACAGCGCCCCACAGGTACGCCATATGCAATCCTGCCGCAGCTTCTACAATGTATTATGTCAAACTAATGCACAGCCCTATCTTGTTACCAGTGTCAGCAAGCATTCAGAAAGCCTCCACTTCTGCTCTAGCGAATGCTAGTGTAACCCTCTTGGCCCCATCAACCTAGCTCTTACCAGTTTCATTGTTTCCATTTCCACCATTCCCCATCCTGCTCAGTCCATTAGACTAAAAAGACAGAACATGTCTCAACCCTGCCTCAAAGGGCAGTTAAGCAGGACCAAATGCAGTGCCAATAGGCTGGTCTAAACTCTGCCCTCTCTGCAGTGGGCTCTAATAAAACAAATACAGTAATTACCAATTTCAGCTCAAAACACTCAGCACTCAGGTTCCAGAGTCAGACTGGCCTAGGATTAAAGCCTGCCTCTTAGAAGCTCTGCTGCCTTCTGCAAGTTACCAATCTCTCCAAGACTATCTCCTCACTTGTAAAATAGGGATAATCTTACTTATAGCTACTTTTTTCCCCCACAAATTATTTAAAGCCAAAACACAGACACTTTAGAATTTTTATGAGGATTATAAGTGTATATATGCACATATATATATATATATAAGTACTTCATGATTAACTCAATCCTCACAAAAGCTCTGTAAGACAATCAGTAATAAACCGGAGTACCATTTTTTCCTTTACAATTGAAAACCGAACCTGACGCTGGGGTACGTCTTCACAGGGCATACCTGTCCCATTCAAGAGACCAAATAGGAAATCAGGTTGCCTGGTAAATTCAGGTTCCCAAGTCAGTTAGAAACACACCTATAGACAATCTCTTAGGGTAGAAGACTTGCACAAGAGAAGTCTATTCGAAGTGTTGTAGCTTTATAGTTGAGTTGTTTGCCAGTCAGCATCTCCAACTTCTTAAAGTATCTTACCTGCCCTCCCTTACAGAAATTAGATACAGGTATGGGAGTAAGTCCCACATGATAGTAAAATGCCAAAAAAGGAGAGATGTCTGAAAGCCAAACTTTTGGAAATACATTTAGGAAGAGGAGGCAGAGATTCCAAATAAGGGACAGTCAAAGGGAAAACCTGGGAGTACAGAATTATGAGCGCCAAGAGAAGGGTTGAGGAAAAAATGGGCTACTGGGCAGTTCCTGTGGCTCAAAAGGGTAGGGCACCGGCCCCAAATGCCAGAGGCATTCGGTTCAAACCCAGCCCCGGCCAAAAAATAAATAAAAAATGGGCCCCTATCAAGTATGACAGAAGCAGAGAATGAGAACGTTTCCAAGTAGAAAGTCATTGGTGACTTCTGAGAATGGTTTAATAGAGTAGATATGTGCTTCTAAGTCATCTGTTACTAATTCTTTCGAGTTTAATTTGCAACACAAATAAGGTATGTGATAACGTCTCAATTAACTGATCTTTAATGAGCAAATACCCTGCAGTCTGCACCACAGGAGTCGCCATTTGTTCACAAAGGCAGCAGACCACAGTGCAGAGCGCCCTGGCTGGGGAGTTCAAGGCACTGAAGAGCAGAGTGCTCGCTGGTCCCTAACTTCCTATGCAACTGTAGAGCCCCTTCCCTCTCTAGTTGAACCTGTTTCCACATTTGTAATTGAGAGTGGGACTAGCTGATCTCAAATACCCACAATGGCTCCAACATTCACCAACTTCAGACCTTTTGGTTTTGTAGTTCCTCTGCCCAGAAATCTCTTCCCCGAAATCTCTTCCCCCAGCCACTCACATGGCTCACTCTCTTACCCCCTTCTCAGCTCTGCCTTAATGCCCAATGATTACCTGCTTGGTGAGATCTTCCTTGGCTCCACTTTCCCTGGCAACTTTCCCCACTGCCTGTTTTACAATCTCCGTAACACTAGTCGCCATCTGACATACTGTTTCACTTGTCTGTTTATTGCCAATTTTCCCCACTAGACTTTAAGTTCCATGAAAGCAGAGATGTGTTCACTGTTCTGCGATGTGCTTGGCATAAAGTAGACAAGCAAACATCTGTTGAAGGAAAGAATGAAATGGCAGCTTCAATCCCCAAAGCAGAGTGACCACTTTGGAGAACATTTTCTTTAGAAAATTGAATTCTGTGAATATAGACGCAAGTGCTGTTTGAAAGCCATCACTTTAATAACTCCTTCACTTGTGCTGGCCTCTCTCCCCTTTAGTGACTCCTGCTGCAAGTCAATATTTTATATATCCTTTTATATACCCCAAACCGACTCCCAAACTCCAGCTGTAACTTTATTCTACCTTCTCTAACTTCAGAATCCCAATCTTAGAGTACACAGCATTATGTGAAGGGAGGGTAAAGACTTGACAGGAAAAAAGTGATAATGACATGCCCCATGGTGCATTTCCGGGTTTCTTCCCAGAGCGATTCAAAACCTCCAAAATAAGGTCAAGTAACACAATAGGCTTGCTCTTGCATCACAAGATGTTTAGAAAGTGTGCGTAGGTCTCTGACTCACACCAGGTGTCCTCCTCACCATGGGCAAGGGCTAGTGGGGAGAATATTCCCAGCCTTATTCCAATAGTAATAAATAACCCTGCAGTATGAGCAGCACTGGAGGTCGGCCCACGGCCCACCCACTGCTACCGCTGTGGAGCCAGGCCTGCCTCATAGCCCTCCGTCTTCATGTCATTGAGTCCTAGCTCTTCGTTTTGGTCAAAGGTGCGCTTATAATGTTCCACCTTCATCTCAGGATCATCTTCAGGTGCATACACATTCTGCAAGGCCAAGGACAGATGATCAGTGCCTGTGCCACTGTGCCATTCCCTCTGCCTGCAGGCAGCTTCCAAGTCCCACTTTCCCAAGAACTTAATAAGTTTTTTATTCTCTAAGAGCCTCCAATTCCTCGTGGCTATGCTAAACCGCTGGAGAGCAACAGAACTCATATGACCCAGGAATGGGAGAGCCTCGCCCCAAGCAGAATCAGGGAACAGTCTGCCTAAAAAATGTTGTATATGTACTTTCCTATGAGAAGTGTGGTAATGATCTTAGAACAGTTTTGACTGACCCATAAGCACTCAATAATATTAAAGTCACATCATTCACCACACTATTTTCCCTAGTCAGCTTAAAGTCTCTACCATTTTTACTCATTCTATAATCAGATTTGCAAATTGAAAACTCCAGCGCTGAGGGTAAGAGCTAGACTACAGGAGGAAAGGAATCTAAGACTACCCTTTTTTCCCCCTTCTTTTTATACACTTAAAATCCCTCCCAACTTCCCCCCTTTCTCCTTTATTTCCCAACATCTGCCAGAAGTACCCTGTTAAAGAGGAGTCCATTTAGAATCAAGTCTTTTGGTTGCTGGGGAAATGATACATATTCAAGGAAGAAAATACATCTCCATGAAACACCATGGAAGATCTACTACACCTGCAAGTAACTGTTTCCTGCTGGATCATCCATAATAAAGTGGGCCTTCGTGTTACCCTCGATGATCTGAGAGAGAGAGAACACAAGTAAATTTTACATAGCTCCCAATGGGAAAGGGCTAGGTCTGCCAGACAAGAACCAACCAAATTTATACTATAGTATCTCCAAAGGTTTTAAGAATTGGTGAAATTATGTACCTGTGGAAGTGGAATGGAAAAGATCTAAAATAAGGACTGTTTGAAAGCTATGTGAGCAATTCAACATCCCCATCGCCTGCTCAAAATGACCAACAGTTGTTTGTTTCTCTGGAGATGTTATCACACCCAGCTGTGGGCTACGGGGCACTGGCTCAGTTGAGGGCAGAGCAAAAGGAATCAAACACAAGGAGGTTAAATGAATGCATGCTTATGGAAACAGACATACACCCCCCGGCCCCAGCCCTCAGAACGCTGCCAGCCATACCTTCATCTTCAAGCTAAGAAACCCAACAGCTGGCTCGGCACCCGTAGCACAGCAGTTAGGGCGCCAGCCACATGCACTGAGGCTGGCAGGTTCAAATCCGGCCCAGGCCAGCTAAACAACAATGACAACAAAAAACAGCCGGACGTTGTGGCATCCCAGCTACTTGGGAGGCTGAGGCAAGAGAATTGCTTAAGCCCAAGAGTTTGAGGTTGCTGACAGCTGTGATGCCATGGCACTCTACTAAGGTGTAAGTAAGACTCTGTCTCAAAAAAAGAAAAGAAAATGCAACAGTCACTGATGAGAATCTAACCCACAGCCAAGATGAAAACATCTAACAAATCTAGCATGGAGGGGGAGTATCTCAACAAAACGGCTTAGCTAAATCCCCCTAGGATGAGCAACAAGAATCATCTTTACTCAAGTTTTTAGTCTTCTACTTGTAAGCCATCAATGATCATTAGACATCTAAGCAAAGCCCCAAACATTGCTATTTTTAAAAAGCTCTTGGGAAATGTTAGTGGAAATGAAAACCTCAATTGAAGGGCTGGAAATAAAGAATCTCCCAAAGTAGAGCAAAATAACAAGAAACTGAAAATAGGACACATAAAAAATAAGTAAATTGTAAATTAAAAAAGACCAGACAAGTCTAATATCTGAAATCCAGGAGCTTTCAAGAGTAAACAGGACAAATGCAATCTTCAATAGAATAATTCAAGAATGCTTCCTCAAACTGAACCACAGGTGTTTTCCAGATTGAAAAGACCTACCAAGCACTTATTACAGTGGTTGAAAATTGACCCACACCAAGGCACAGCATGAAATTTCGCATCACTGGAGACGAAAAGATCCCAAGAGTTGGTCATATACAAAAGAGAGAAATCAGAAGGTGAAAGCCAAACTGGAAAATAGAAGACGGTAGTGCAATGTCCTCAAAATTCTCATGAAAAATTATTTCTATCCTAGAATTCTATCCCCAGACAATAATCACTCTTGTGTCAAAGTAGAACACAGAAATTTTCCGACATGGAACGTTCCAGATATCTTATTTCCCATGTACTCTTTCTCAGGAAGCTACTAAGGTGTTCCAACAAAATTAGGGAGAAAACTAAAAAAGATGATGACATGGATGCAGGAAACCAGAAGAATGGCAAGAAATGAGCATGGAGCCTCTTATTCACCGGAGGACAACAAATGCAGACTGGCCAGGATCCGCTCACCTGGTCCAACTTCTGGCTAAACTCCTGCAGTTTCTCCGTCTGGCCAGGATTGGAACTGTCACCCAGTGTGAAAGGGTTCTTGGTCACCTGCAATAAATGACATCCAAATTGCTTACATACTGATTTTGTGTTTGTTAAGCCAGGAAGGGAGTGGCAGTGGGTGCCCAGGCAGGGGAGTTTGGTTTCTGTTTATCCCACCCGGCCTTTCTGACCTAGGCAGCCACGCCTAGGAGTCTATGGGATCGATGTGCCGAGATGACAAAACAGGAAAGGTGAAACAAAATCTAGGAAACTGTTCTGACAGTCTGATCTCTAATGCTGATTTGGAGAAGGAATGCAAAGAAAAAGCACAATTTATAAAGACAGAATGTCCAACAACTGAAAATCCAATATATCAATTAAGTGAAATAGTTCATCAAGATAAACATACAGGCTAACGTGTGTGAGTTTGGGAGTGTTCAGTGCTGGAAGGACCCTCAACCTCACACTTTACAGTGAAATAAATGACTTACACAAGACCATAAAATAACAACAATGTTCCAACTTAGGCCTGGGAATTTCCATTCAAAACTTCCCATAAACTTAGCTTTATAATCCAAAATAAATACATTAAAGTCTCTTAAAAAGCTGTAAGGAGAATCTCCAATCATCAACACCAAAAACTAGAAAGTCTTGAGTTCTTCCAGTCCCTTTCCCCACAGCTAAATTGCGGTATGAAGCTGCACACACTACTTAGCTGACTCACCAGTTCCCGGACGTCTTTCAGCAGCCCCTCCAGTGTAGTGAACTTGCCCCCAAGGACAGCCATTCCCAGTTCAAATTCTAGCTCTGGAATTTCCACACTGCAAGTCTCAGACTATGAAATGAGAAGTCGGTGTAAGCTCTAAAGTCAGGAGCAAAGAAAGCCAACCAGAGGCCTTCTGCCAAATTAGTATCACCAGTGGTAGTTTGGGAACAAAATCAGCTGTCCCAGTTTTCTCTGACTCCCTCGTTAAAGTCAAAGACTTCCTCCTGTCCAAACTGAACCACAGAAATGGAACTTAATAAGGGGAAACTGAATTATAGCTTCAAGCTATCAGGTATTAGGGGTAAAAGAAGAGGGCCCATATAAACACTGGAAGCCAAAAAGCTGCCAACTCATCAGAAAGAGCGTATAGGTCACCTTCTGAATCTGCAATTCCAACCATGGATCAACACTAGTAAGGAAACCTCAAACCCAGGGAAGCAGGAGGTACCTCAAGTCCCTGAATATTACTGTACATAATTTCCCCTAGACAGAGACAGTGTATCCAGCCTATGAAGAAGAGAGTCAGTTTCCCAATCAGGTGTTACCTTAAGGAGGTCTCTGGTCATATCTGAGGGATCTGTGATGTGGAGGGTGATCCTGGTGCCCAATGGCTCTACTGCTCCTCCAGATTTCACCTGCACAGGTTAACAGTCAAGAGCAACAACAGAGAGATAACCTTGAACCTCACTTGGTGTTCAGCAGACTCAAGATAGGCTTGGCCCTCCAATCAGACCTATTAACAGCTACCAAGGACAGAGCATTCTAAACCAATAGTGGCAGCAGTCACCCAAACAAAATACATCAAAAGCTAACTGGGAGCAGAGTGCCTTACCCCAGTAACATGCCAAAACTTATTCCAAATTGCCAAGAAACTCTGAATTTGCCTTTACAAAAAATCTGACTCTTGGAGTTGAAAGAGACATTTGTTTATTCTAGTCCTTTCATTTACTATGTTCAATGTGCGGCTCCCCTTTATAATAGTCTGCTTTAAGAATTTAATCAGCTTATACTCAGATCACTCAGGGAAAAGGAATTTATAAGGCTGCAAGGCAGCCCATTCTACTTTCAAACAGCTCCATTAAGTTCTTCATTATGAAGTTAAAATCTGCCTCCCTGAACTTCTGCCCCTCTGAGGAGCGGATCGAAAGTGTCCTCTCTCTTCCATATAACCACCTTTAATATGTCTTAAACGAGTTATGGAATCTCTCTTCTCTCAGTTATTTCCCAGTTCCTTGAAGGGCTCCTCACCCTACCCAACCCGAAAAGACAAACCCAACCTGCCCAGCCTCCAATCCTGAAAAGGTATATTTAGGAAGGATAAAAATTAAATAAGGGTTAGCCTCTTCTTCCAAAATGAGACCCACCTACCTCATTGGTCCGATGCCCACAGTTCTCACAGTTGGTAGCCATGATGATAACCTCCTTAAAGTGAGGTATTTCTAGAAGATGGAGTTGAGGAAATCTACTTTCAGGAAAGGCCACCCTCAGGGGAAAAACAAGGCCAAGCCCAACACAACCAGATGTTGGTCCCAGTAGTGCAAGAAATATATCACAAGAGGCAACCTAACTCTGAGTCCTCCAGAAAAAGGCAAGTTACTCACTCATAGTGCTCCCTGTGCACACATGTTTGAAGGCAGGGCTCAGACTACATATAGCCAGCCTCAAACCATGGCCTAATTTTCTCTTTGAACCCAAAGCCAAGGTACACAATCTAATCAAAGGCAACATCCTCCTCCTCTGAATAAAGCATGTGCTTTTCTTAAAGGGACGCTCCCAGCCTGATTATAATCTTCATGCCTGAGTCAGATGAAGAGCGACCCAACTGCTTGACAAAAGATACGTACTAGCTTCATGTTGGTCTGAGCAGGAGCATTGCATTCAGGGCAGTTTGTGTTGAACTGCAGCACCTGGAACACACACACAGAGGCACAGCGTGAGCACCAGGCAGGACACTCAGGCTACAGACTTCAGCTGGTACGCTGGCACTCATCCACGGTGGTGGTGAGGAAGAGACACTAAACAGCGTCAGTCTCAGCCCACAACTGTGTTCCTTTCTCAACAGTAGCCAACATGACTCACTTCATTTCTGAGATCCTCTTCTTCTGGCTTCTCTCCTGGTGCTTCTGCCTAAAATAGCAGAGGAGCAAATCACAAGGTAGCACATATATCTCAGAATCCCCAAACCCTGCTCTGGCCTGGGAGAAAATACTCTGGCTCACTTATGTCCACTGCCACCTCATGGGTTGGACAGAGAAGCTGGAAAGCAAAGCCCTAAACAAGGGGTGAAAGGGTTCAAGATAGGATTATAGCCACTGTCATCCTCTCTGTGAAGTTTACCCAAGTCCTTGACATGAGCTAGATGAGGAGCACAAACAAGCTGAGATATGGTACAAAGGTCATCCAAAGAAAAACTAAGTTCCCACTGCCTCCAAGCAATCCAGAATGCAAAGTAATTCCAAAGTATTCCTTTTTTTTTTTTCCGAGACAGAGTCTCACTATGTCACCCTTAACAGAGTGCCATGGCATCACAGCTCACAGCAACCTCAAACTCTTGGGCTTAAGTGATTCTCTTGTCTCAGCCTCCCAAGTAGCTGGGACTACAGGCACCCACCACAACGCCCGGCTATTTTTGTTGTTGTAGTTGTCATTGTTGCTTAGCAGGCCTAAGCTGGGTTTGAACCCACCAGCCCCAGTGTATGTGGCCAGCACCCTAACCACAATCTACAGGCACCAAGCCCAGAGTATTCTTCTGGTTCCTTCAGTCCTCTTACTTGGAGCCCCAACATCTCATCCTGCTGTAGGGACCGGTTGTAGCGTGTGATCACCAGGGCATCATCTTTCTGGGGAGCATGGGGGTTTTCCACAAAGCTGTTTCCTGCAGGATCATCAATGATCTAACACACAGGGGAAGAGAGAGTCATTGCAACAGGAAATCATACACAATCCTCCACCTGCCATCAGACCTCCCAGGCACCACAGTGGAAAAATTCCATTCTTAATGCTCTCTCCTCCCCTAATCAAGGACAATTCCAGTCCCTCAATACTCACCAGAGTGAAAGGGGAGGCCACTTGCTTTAGCGCCTTCAGTTTGCCAATGAACTCATCAATTCTTTCAGCTGTGGCATCTTTGTTTGCCTGACATGAACAAAGAGGAAAAGGATCAGCCCTGGTGGTCTACATCATGCCCCACACCTTGTCATACCAGGTCACTTCCATTCGAAAGTGCCATGTGTCTCAGTTTGAGTGGGAAGAGAGTGATTCAGACTTCACAATGAGATGTACCAAGCAAGTATAAAGTTGACGGTTAATGGCAGATGATCCTCATTTTCTCCTTCATTCAACCATTTAGCCCAGGCTCTCATGCCAGGTTAAGCATAGAACAGTAAATATATCACAGTCCTCTCATGGGACTCCCCAGCCAGTCAGGAAGACAAATGACTAAATATGCAATTATTTTACTTCTACTGCAATAAATATAAGATATGATGGAATGTTAAGGAAGGAAGTACAGATAACCCAAGGAGATCAGGAAAAGCTCTTCAGAGGTAATGTTACATGGTCTGTCTGAGAAGACACCTTAATATACATTGGGGGAGGGAGGTAGAAAGCACAATAAGTATAACATATGCGACATCTCAGCAGTTAAGTTAGAGCACAACTATATGGTTCCCCAAAAAGTTCTCCAACATGTAGTCAGAGACAGTTTAGACAGATGGGAAGCTGAACACTCTATCCAGGCACATACTAGCAATTATTCCTTGAGCTGCTGTAATCAGAAAACTTTAGCTCACCCTTCGTGTGGGCTGGTCCTGCTCCAGGCCAGAGATAGCACGGTTAATCAATCCTTCAACAGTGGTCAGAGCTTGTGAATAAGAAAAGACAAGTAAGCCTTAGCTCTGCTATCAAGTACCTGTATGACCCTGGACAACTCACTTGAATTCTCTGGGCCTTAAATACCTCACCCATAAAATGAGGGGGCCAGGCACAAGGTTCCATTCATCTCTGATAACTGTGCTGCTAAAATTTTATAATAACGGTATGGTCTTACTATTACTCTCTACTATCCCTGCCGTTTTACTTAAGTTTTCCATTTATATTAAACCAATGAAGAACACAATGATTACGATTACAAGACAAAAATCCACACACAAGCCATTAGATTTGGGACCAGAGGGTTTGCAAGAAAGTTTGGGTAAGATTCTAGTTAGGTGTGCACAGCCCAAATACCCTGATCTTAAACTTACTTCCCTTCTGGCTGAAGGCAGGAATTTCAAAATCCAGCTCAGGGATCCCTGTGGTGGCAGAGTCAGTCTTCACTACTTCTCTGTTCATGTCCTTGGCAGAGAAGAAAACACTTAGACCAAAGAGGTCAACACAACAGTTTCTCCTCAGGAAATAACCATCCTGTCAGCCTCCATCAGACCCCAGCCCAACTGGTTCTCTCTCTCTCCACTCCAGAGGGTCCAGACTCCTCCTTCCAAAATTACAAGTGATGTTGAGTCTGGCTGTCCAAGTGGTGAAAATATTAGAGTACTACTGCTCACGTCATACCAATTGACACAACTGAAAAGCGTTTCCACAAATCCTATCTCAATGGAGCGGATAAAAGAGCCAATACCACTTTACAAAAAGGAAAACTAGAGCTTGGAAACATAAGTGGATTTATTTAAGGTCCAAGCGCCTAGAGTAGACCTCTGACTCTAGTCCTCAAGCTCTCTCTAGGATACTGGAGTATCTGCTCTGAGCTCCTCTCACCTCCAGGGCCCTGACAGTCAAAGTGTAACGCACTCCCTGGTCCTGGATCCTGCCTGCCGACTGGATCTCCGTGTTGTTCCAGCCACAGTGTTCACAGGAAAAGGAGCTCACGATTATTTCTCTGAAGAAGGGGATCTTGGTGAGCAGGAGGCGCGTTATGCCCTGGGAAAGCAGAAAGCAGCGAAGGAAAAGAATCAATGAAACCGCCCCGAGGTTTTCAGGGCGCGCCTCCGGGGCCGGGACTGAGCCCACCTGGCCGTGGATCCAACTCCCTGCCCCTCCCCGCCTCTCCCCGCCTGTGCACTAAGCGGCCGCGCCCCCGCCTCACGTTATTGTAACAGTTCATGCATAGCGACTCGATCTCGGTGGGCTGCTGCTCGTCGTCCTCGGCGCTGATGGGCCGGAACAACTGCCCTGGGGCGAGCGACGAGGCCGGGGCGGACGACGGGGCGGTGGCGGCCCCCGGAGGCGCGGGTTCTACAGCCCCACTGGCCGCCATCACCGCCACGCGCAGCTGCGGCCTCGACTTCCGGCTTCCGGCTTCCGCTGCTCTCGCGGCCCCGCCCCCTTTCTCCAGCACTTCCGCCTGGCGCGGCTCCGACTTTGCTGGAGGGGCCTTCTGACAAGGGCTCTTGGTTCCTGGGCCTGTGTGGCCCAGGTCTACCTCAGTTGAAACGTCACTAGCCCCAGGATATTCTCTCAGACCCAGGGCAGTTTGTTGTTCCACAGCACAGGGTTCTAGAGCCTGAGAGCCAGGGGCCTGGCTTGTCCCTGGTATCCCCAAGGAGGTGCTCCCAGACCTCGGCTTGCTTCATTCCACTCTTGGGCCAGACACTGCTTGGGCTCTAGGTCCCCCTTTCCCGGTGGCTCAGCTTCTCCGTGTTCCTCAATCCGTCTGTCCCTTTCTGTTCTTCCCACTCCCTATTTCTGTCCTTGTAAGCACCAAAATTCCAGCCTCAGATGTCCCTCAATCCGTCTCTCCCTTTCTGTTCTTCTCCACTGGCTATTTCTATCCTCATAAGCACCTCCCAAAATTCCAGCCTCAGACATACAACGCTTATTTTTATCCCCACCCCCTCATCTTCACCACATCCTACTCTAGCTGACTCACCCTTTCCCAGTTTCCTAACAACAACAAAACACCTCTTTTTTTGGAAACTTTTCTTTCTAGAACTTCCTTTCCCTGTGCGGGGGACAACCCACTTAAGTCTAAATTCAGGGTGTTAGGGAAAACCAGCCTGCAGGCATAATGAGCCTGGATTCATGTGGGTCAGCGCTCCAAGGGGGAGGTGCTGAGACCAGCAGGCTGAGCTAGGAGGAAAAGATGCTAGACAGGGCAGTCCAAAGGGACAGAGGTGTGTCTACCCTTTGCTCCCCACCACCCAACCTCTCGCCTCCAATTGTACAGTACCCAGAGGAACTATGAAGAGCTTTGGTGCCCCTGGATGAGTGTGTATATGGAGGGAAGATTTGAGAGTTTGGAGACCCCAAGAAGAGAGTCATATAAAGAGACCATTCAAAGTCTGGAACGGCAGGAGTAAAGGAGATAGGCTACCCTAGGAGTCTGGGGGCTACAATTCCTCAAGTAACAGTATGCATTTCATGCACACCATCCTGTGGTAATCAGGCTGTTGAACCATGCAGGTGTGGAGGCAGGATCCCTAACCCAGGCCCACCCCGCCCTTACTCTCAGGTTCTATAACCCCATGCTGTGGAGCAACAAACTGCCCTGGGTCTGAGAGGATATCCTGGGGGAAATGAATTGAGGTAGATCTGGCTGGCTTTGGAAGTCTGGGCCACACAGTCCCCGAAACCAGGAGCCTTTGTCAGAAGTGCTGGAGAAAGGGGATGGGGTCGCTATTGTCTAGCCAGGAGCCCTGAAGCAGAGCCCAGCCACAGGGCCTCTGATAGACCTGGGCTGGGGATGGGTCACTAAGAAAGAGCAGCAAGGGAACGGAGTGGGTGATGAGGGTGCTTTGGGGACAATGGTGAGGCTACTGCTTTCAGACATGATCCAAATGAGAGTCACACCAGGCAGACAAACTTCCATCATAGGCATCTATTTCATTTGAGCCAGAAGTCTATAGACTTCAGCTTGGGAGTCAGAGGGAGGGGCTGGCAAGGGGGAGGGTACATGGTATGCTCCCCAGGGAGTTTAATAAGCCTCAGTGTAGAGTGCTCAGTCTCATACTTAAGTGCAGAGCTCTGTAAGGAAATAAGGGCTCTGTCCCCTCCCATCACAGCCCCTGCCATACATCCCCCAGCATCAGGGCCAGCAGATGGTTCCTCCCATCATATTTCACTCCTTTCTCCTTTCTATTCACCTAACAGAAGCTGTGGCCACAGCCCTGGGGTGACAAGTGCTCCTTTCTGTGGACCGGCCATAGCAGTGGCCACCAGGCAGCAGGAACTGACAAGACCCTAACTCCAGGATGTAATGGCACAGTCTTCCAGCACTATAGCAAACATGCTTGTGGGTAATTACCTGCACATACAGGGCCTCTTTCCTCCCTCCTCCCTCCCCCCTGAATGGAGCAGCTAGGGACGATTCCCAAAAGAACACAGGAGGCTGGGTTTGCAAAGCCTGGTGAGTGTAACACATCCAGATGAGGAGTCACAGGAGGCTGGATGTACTGAGGACAGCAGCCCTTCCCATGGCCTGGCCTTTCCTGTGCAGGACCCTCCACCCTCCACCCAACAGGCCACTTTCAAGGACTGAGCCAGGCAGGAGGTCCAGGGCTTCCCAGACAAGGAGCTGGGAAGTGGGCCTGGGCAAGTAAACTCTCAGGGCTCCCCCAGATGGTCGTGGCCCTGGCCATGAAGGCTGTAGGTGATGTCCTCCCACAGGTCATCCAGACGGGCTTGCAGCTTGTTCAGGGCCTTGCCACTGTCCGCTTGTTGGAAATCCGGGGCGAAGGCGCTGTGGCCCGGCGGGGGTGGCGCTAGCTGCTGTTGGACCTCCTCAGTCTCCTGGTCGATGGCACGAGTGAAGGCAGCGATCTGCTGGAAGGTGTCATGTCGGAAAGCCTGGAGTCTCTGTCGCACCTGTTCGGAGATCACTTGGGGGTCTAAGCCGGCCCCCTCCTCAGTCCCGTCTGTGCTGGCGCCGGCAAAAGCACTGCTGAGTTCTTCGCGCAGCTGGTCCAAGTTCTGCTGGATGCGCGCGTGCAGAGCCTTGGCCTTGAGCGTGAGTTTGCGTGAGAGCGCCTGCACGCAGCGGCTGAGGCGCTTGGGGCTGGCGGCGGCATGCGGAGCCACACTACGGTGCAGCTCCTGCACTTGGCGCCCGATGCCGGTCACCAGGCGCTCGGCGTAGGGGTGGAAGAGCTCCTTGACGCGGCCAGTGTGGTGCGCCACGCGGCTCTGCAGTTCCTGCAACAAGCCCCGCGCCTCGTCCACGCCCCCCAGCAGCTGGGCCTTGGCGTCTTCTCCGACCAAACGCAGCTGCTCTTGCAGCTCCTGTGCGTGCAGGGCCACCTGCTCCATCAGATCCATTGTGTAGGGCTTCAGCTGCTGTCGCAAGCCCTCCAAGTTCCAGCCCACTAGCTGGTGCGCCTCTGCCATGTAGGGCTCCAGGCGCGCCCTCACTTCCTCCAACTCCTCCTGCAGCTGCTGCCGCATGCCCGCCGGGTCAGGTGGGAGCCGCGAAGGCCCCCGTCCCTGCCCACTCAGAGGGCCCAGCTTTTCCAGGAGCTTGTCCACGTTGTTGAGGTCTTGCTCAAGGCTGTCCTTCAGGCTCCTGGGGAAGGGGACAGACATCCAGGCCATCAGACCCCCTGCTCCCGTTCATTATCTCCTTTGTCTCAGAGACATAGAGTGCAGATCCTCTGGGGAAACTGAGGACGCAGGGCGGTGGCCCCAAGGCCTGGGGCTCTAGGCTTAAGCTCTGGCCTGCCTCAACCCCTCACACTTAAAGCACAAACACATCGCACAGGCAAATCCACACCCACAGCACTGTGCAAGCACCTACAGATGCACCGAGACTCTCACGCCGTCCTTTCATTCTGGGGGCTGTATTGGGGATCTTCTGCTGATCCAGACACCATGCCTCAGTGGGCCAGGGACCAGCAGCTACAGCTAGGTGAAGGAGAGGGCTGTGGACAGGCGACACTGAAGAGCCCTGGATTGACAGGGAAGTAGGGCAGAGGCAGCCCCACCCCTGTTCCTGTGTCTCAGTGGGGACCATGGAGGGTGAAAAATCATGGACAACACACCACCCCATCCCCCGCTGCCTCTTCCCTGCCCCACACCCCTTGCCCTGGCCACTCACACATGCTCCCGTGCCAGCTTCTGCTGCTCCATCCTGCCTTTGTCCCCACTGCTCTGGCTGAAGTAATCCCAGAAGCCTTTCCTGGCCTGGGTGGCTGAAAGCACTACGAATAGGGATGGGGTGATTAGGGGCTGGGTTCTCCTCTCCCATGGTGCACAGGCCACTCAGTACAGCCTCCAGCACACTTCCCATTGAGTCAAAGTCAAGGTCAGAGACCCACCTGACAGGAGAGCCAGCACCCAGGTGAGGGCTGCAGCCATGCTTGCCATTACCAATCCTGAGAAGGAAGGAGGCCTGGTTAGAGCGGAGAAGAAACAGCAGGGATGCCTCCTAGGGAACTTGCTCAGGGCAACCTGCCCCCAGTCCTCTTAGCCCTTCCTTGGGGTCTCCAGAGCACAGAGCTGTTGAGACTCAAGAAGCCTGACCCAGGTGAATCCAAGAGGCTGGGAGAGAAGGTGTCCTCAGACATGGCGAGGGCTGCTCCTGTCTCACCTCAGTCACACAGTAGGGAGCTTTGCAGAGCCTCCCCTCCTACCACCACCCCCTGCCCAGACCCCAGGAGCAGCTCCCTGGACTCCTGTGACACCTCCCCCTGCACACTGCCTTCCTGCCTCTCATGTCATGGTGGAAAAACTGAGGCATATCAAGGAGGAAGAAGCAACTCTTTCCCCAGTGCTCCAAGAGGATGTCTTGGTGTCCCCTCTACCAGCTCTCGCCTGAGGCCCCCTAGGGTCCCTTCGCTTAGGACTCCAACCTCACTCCCTCTGCCCTGGCTGCTCACCTGCTCTGTTCTGAGTCCAGAGAGCAGATATTCTGCTTTATACTCCAGGGGCCTGGGCTTCTGGCAACAATTGTTCTGAGTAAATACCACGTGGAAGTTCAAAGAAGGTTGACCTCAGCTGCCTCCCAAAGCTCACCTTCTGCCCTTGTCCTGGCACCCAGAGGGTTAATGAGTGCCGGTATCAGGAGGCTTTCTCAGTAGAGAAGCCTTCCTGGAAAGCCTCCCTAGGGATGGGGCTGAACTCCTCACCCGGTTCCCCACAAGCCCCAAGACCTTCACTGACCTGCTGGCTGGCCCATCAATAGAGAGGAGCCTGTTTGTCTGCTGAGGGCCCCTCTCTTATGCAACTACCCAGAGGCACTGTGCCCCAGCTGGCCAGATGGCAACAGTGGCCAACTGTCAACCAGGACCTCAGCAGCCCTTGACAGCTCCAGCATAAGCTACTCAGATAGCCTGGTAAGAGCCAGCATTCATAGGGTTAAAGACCTCCCCCCATACGGGTGGTGCCTGTGGCTCAAAAGGGCAGGGTGCCAGCCTCATAGGCCAAAGATGGTGGGTTCAAACCCAGCCCCAGCCAAAAAAAAAAAAAGACCTCCCCCATCCTGCTTTAGGAAATAACCCTGGAGCAAGCAAGGGGAGCCAGGTGGTGGGGATGAGATGATAAGAGGCATCTGGGCCAGGGACTCAGGGCCCAAAGAATTGGAGCAAGAGGAGAAAGACTGAACTCCACCCACAAGGCCTCTGAGACAAGTGAGCCAGAAAGGCCACATCCTTCTCTGACGACATGCCTGCTCCAAGCACTCCTGCTGCTTGCTCCTAAATGTATACTGCATGGATGCCCTCTCCTCCAGTTCCACCATCATCACAGCCCCCAGTTGTCTCCCACCCCTCCAGGAGATCTCTCTGCCACAGTCCTGCAGTTCACTCATCCTCTAAGATGGCTTTTCCCAACTCATTTCCAGTCTCATCCCCTGCTACGGAAAACCTTGGCATCCCCCGAGCACAACACCTATTCCCACTGCTTGAAATAACCTATCGTGGCTCAAGTGGCTAAGGCGCCAGCCACATACACCCAAGGTGGCGGGTTCGAATCCCCAGCCCCGACCCGCCAAACAACAATGATGGCTGCAACCAAAAAATAGCCAGGGGTTGTGG